TTACACCAATTGCTGTTCTTATTACCTGATATTTCTACACTCACACCCTATATTCATCTAATTCTTTCTGCTCTGTCAAAGTAACCTGGTTCTGTTTCTTCCTGTACTTGAAGGCAGGCCAATAATCTAAGCTAACACTTTCATATAACAATATTACGGATATCTAAGCCAGATACCCGTTTTTGGTGTAAGATTTTATGATCATATATTTCCAGAACACAAAAATATGGAATGAAAATTAAGAAGATGGTGAGGGGGCAATAGGAGAAAGAGAAAGAGAAAGAGAAAGAGAAGGAGAAGAAAAGGAGAGGGAGAATAAGGAGAAGAGGGAGGAGAAAGAGAAGGAAAAGAAAGGAAATGAGATGGAGAAGGAAAGGAAGGAGAAGAAGAAAAGTCAGAGGATGAACAGGAGAATGGGCAGGATGATAACCAGGAGGAGGAGGAGAACAGAGAGGGTTAAAAAGATGAGGTTGAGAATGAAGAGGAGGAGGAGGAGGAGGAGGAGGAGGAGGAGGAGGAGGAGGAGGAGGAAGAAGAAAGGAAAGGAGAAAAGGAGAGAGGAGAGGAGAAGAGAGGAGAGGAGAGGAGATGAGAGTACGAGAGATGATGGGAGGAAAAGAATTAGGAAGAGAAAGAGATGAAGAAGAAGTAGGAGAATGGAGAGGGTAAAAAAAAAGTGAGGTTAAGGATGAGGAGGAGGAAGAGAGGAGAGGAAAGGAGAGGAGTTGAGAGGATAAGGGGTGTATGAAGAGGAAGAGTAAGAGAAGGAGAAAGAAGAGGAGAAGGAGAAAAAAGGGAAAGGTTGAGAAGGTGCAGAAGTAGAAGATACAGAAGAAAGAAAAAGAGCAAGAAGAGGAGGAGGAGGAGGAGTAAGAAATATGAGGAGAATGAAGCATAAGACTGAAAAAGAGGATGAAGAAAAGAAATTAAATCAGTAGTGTTGAACAACAAACAAGAAACATTATCCTTACCTCAGCTGAAACGTCTGACCCGACATCATCCACGCAGTTCTGACTCTCCCCTTTGCGCTGACCCTTATTACTCTCTCCCTGCTGAGCCTGACCACCACCCAGGCTTCTGTGATGGTCGGCATTTTTCTTGACCTCAGCAGCGGCATTGCAAGCTTTCATGGGTGCGCTCAGACTGACAGCAGAGCCTGGGACAATGCTGGGGATGTTGGGGTTGTGGCCCAATTCCCCGCAGGCGTTCGGCGAAAAGGGCTCCTCCGTGACCGAGATTGGGGGCAGGTCTCGGATCATTTCGGTGTACTTCATGCGCTTCGCCTTCTGCCAGTCGTTGTTGAGGGCCATTCTCCTCTTGCTGTACTCCTGCACTTGATCCACGGCCGGCATGGGGACATGCCTCTCGGCTGGGGCATTCTGGCCTCTCCTCCCCCCCTCTGCCGGCTCTTGCTCGTCGCTCGAGCTGGACAGGCCCTTGACCTTCCAGGCCTCTGCAGTCTCCATGAACCCCGCCAAGTCCTCCTGCATGATGTCAACCTCCCCCTCATACATGTAGGACAGCAGGGCCTCCAGACGAGCCGTTTTCATGTCTGTCATGACGATCATGGGGTGCTTGCCGTTGATCTTGTCAAACATCTCTTCAAAGTAATCACTGCACGCTGCTAAGACAAACTTGTGTACGGAATAATACTTCCCGTTGCACAAGACAGTTGCATCACAATACCAACCCTGCAAAAAAAACAAAAAAACATAAATAAATATATAACATTAGAATATACATTTATTTCTAAATATACATATCAATACCTATATTCATATCTATATATGAATATATCAATAATATATCTATATCTACATATCAATCTCTCTATCTATCTATCTATCTGCCTCACCCTATATATATATAAATTTATAAGTGTATATAAATACATATGTGTGTGTGTGTGTGTGTGTGTGTGTGTGTGTGTGTGTGTGTGTGTGTGTGTGTGTGTGTGTGTGTGTGTGTGTGTGTGTGCGTGCACGTGTGTGTGTGTGTGTGTGTGTGTGTGTGTGTGTGTGTGTGTGTGTGTGTGTGTGTGTGTGTGTGTGTGTGTGCGCGTGTGTGTGTGTGTGTGTGTGTGTGTGTGTGTGTGTGTGTGTGTGTGTGTGTGTGTGTGTGTGTGTGTGTGTGTGTGTGTGTGCGTGCGCGCGTGTGTGTGTGTGTGTGTGTGTGTCTGTGTGTGTGTGTGTGTGCAGTCTACTTTACACATCTGGGTTTGATCATAAGAGAAGTGAACATGTAATCTGTCCTGAACATTATTTCCCAAAAGTATTTTCAAGACAATGTGCTGTACAATATGAAACATTGGATGATAGTATTTGACCATTTCTAATAACAATGTCCTCTAATTCATACTGTACATGTTATTTCTTACAATCATAGCTGAGCTCATAAAATTATATGAAAGAAAAAAAATATAGAGCTATTATGGCATTATAAATCCTAAGTTTCATTTACTTATTACTTAATCCCACTCAGAAACTAAGCTACAAGCTAAGTAATAAGATACTAGGGAATTATTATTATTTTCTATTATTAGCCTTTTTCCCTCTTATCACATTGTTTTACCTGCTTTGTGTTTCTTTTTTAAAAGATATAATTGAACAAACAAACAAAAAAAAAATGCTTAAAATAATTTTCTCCTAAGCATATTTTTCAATGAATTATATCTATGTATGAATATTAATAGAAATACATTATTTCAGGGGACTGTATTCGAAGAGTTAAAGGAAAAACCCTAAAAACTGTAAAAAATATATATATATTTTTAAAATTTTATCAGACTAAATGATTCCTTTCTGGCTATTAGGGTAACAAAGTTTAAAGTATAATACTAAGGTTTACTAAATATTAAAAAATATATGAGTGCTAACATGCAAACATATATATATTCGCTTCCTCACCTCTCTTCTCGCATTTTTTAGCAATTGGAGAAGGGCAGAGTAATGAGCATTCCACTGAACAGTTATTGAATTAGCAGCCATTGCGAAGGTTTGTTCTGTCCTCCTGGAAATTGGGGGAAAAAATTATTAAATTTAAATAATTAATAAAACAGGTACATGTGTGTGTGTGTACATAAAAAGCCTTAAGAAAAACAACTCATTAATTGAATTCGGGTTTGATATATTGGTTTACACGATTTAATATTACACTATAATTCAATAAGAATGAATAAATGATATTACATATTTGATTTAATAATATATACTGAAAAAGGAAAAAAAAAAAATTAAAACAAAAAATCTATATTGATAAAACTCATGAAATGAAATATAAATAATAATAATAATTTCCATTATGGTAAAATCTATCATTATAAATTCCCAAAAGCTTTGATTAAGTAAATAAATATTAAATAGAAGCCATATGAATTTTCAAAGCCAAAAAACAAAATATATATTCACTCTTCAAAGTTTATTTAAGCTACACATATTACAAACTCTAAATTCCTCTTAAATAGCTTACATTTCCATTAAGTAAAATAGAATAAAAACAAATTAAACAAAATATTATCATAATTAGTAGTTATTAATGATAAAAGTTGCACTATCATGTCATTTATTAGAATTATGTTACTAATTCTTAAACAGATAGATAAAAATTAGGAAAATCTTTTATAATCTGTCACTGTAAAAAGAAAGGATTAATTACATAAATAAATGCAAGTGAAATATATAAATGTGCAAAAGAAAAGAAAATATACAATAGGAATAAAAATTAAATTGGCTTTGACCTTCAATAACACTGGAAAAAAAAAATCCATTATAACCTATTGCTGTAAAAAGAGAGGATTAATCATATAAATATAAAACATATAAATAAACAACATATACAATAATACAATACAATAACCTCTGTATAATAACATATCATACATATAAAATAACCTAAATACAATACAATACATTAACCTAAACATTATATAATAAAATAATACAATACAATATACAATACTGTATTGTAATATTGTAAATACAATACTACAATAACCTAAACATTAAATAATTAAATAACATTGAGAAAAATTCTGTTGCATAAATTCTAACAGTAACAGCAAAACACACACTATAAATCCTTTAATTATAAGCCTACGTACTAAAATATTAATAAATCACAAAATCGTAGACAAAAGAACACTATAAATATAACATAAATGACACAAAGAACGATACAGTTAACCTAGACCTTAAAATAACCTAGAAAAAGAAAGAAATAATAAATAAAATAATTTCACTAACATATCACACACACAATACAAAAAATAATAATAATAATCACAACCTTAATTACAGTTCTAATTACAACTACGACTTAATAATCACAATGTTAAATATATATATATTTACCTTTTCTTTAAGCTCATTACGTCATTTTCTCTCTATGACAGCATATCATAATTCACAAATGAGTAAAGACAGGTATGGTATTTAACCCTTAATTGTGGGTATTAATTAAGTAATAAATAATCAAAACTGGCGTATCTTCTCTTCAAGATTAAATGGAGTTTTATCAACTGCGCAATCTCAAAAAAATTCAAATAATTTCGTCATTATTTCCCGTTTGTGTAAGTGATTTTTTAAAATTATCTTTTAGTATTGTATTATCAGCTTTTCTTTTGTCTGTTTGTTTTTGTTTTTTGTTTTTTAAAGGATTGTTTCGTTTTATATTGATTACGGCTTTCGTCTTTAATTCCTGTTTGTGTTAACGACCTTCAGAGCAATTCTATTTCTAAATGGTTTTATACTTTTCTCGTTTATACTTTCTTTCTAGTATCATTATTTTCATTACTACTATATTCAATATCATTCGCTGTTATCTTTATATATTATATTACTTATTCGTGTTATTTGTGAATTTTGTGACTGCATATCGTTTTTACATAATTTCATTTTTCCTAACAAAGGTTTGCTTAATAAAAAACGATAAATCTTTAGTGCGTGAAATTAGAAATGACATTAAGAAATCCCCGTGCAATGAAATGAGGAAAATATTCTCTTTGAAAAATGGCGGATCGTGGTTCAATTTTATCACATCATATCCCATGCGAAGAATTCGAGAACTGTATTCCAGTTTTAATATATTTTTTCCCAGTAAAATTATTAGAACATAAAGTCATAAAAGTGTCTGCATGTGACATTTAATGATAACTGATATAATGTTGAATTGAAAAAAACGTTAAAATCTACGGTGGTGACACGCCAGTCTTGGTCTAGAAACACTAGAAAAATCTTTAAAAAAACGCCAAAGAAATGATAAACGTAGCTATGGAAATATGGAATTAAGGAGAAATTTCAAGAAAAATATTATATGAATGGATAGAGTAGCAGAAAAAGTGAAATTCGTGAATAGAAATAGTAAAAACTATCCATAACGTAAAAGATAACCAGTGTCCATACATTAACCCCTACATAAATGTTACAGCCAATTTACAACTGAATTTGATGCGTGAGCGACCAGAAGGGCATGCCGAAATAAAAAAGAAATAATAATAATAAGAAAATAACAACAACAACAACAATTAATCATAATATTAGTAAAAATTTGAGTACTCGTGCATCACTGCAAGCGGGCAAAAATCAATATATTGAACCTCCAGCTGAGTATTATCACGGTGGGATACAAGCCTATCAAAAAATCCGAATTTGTCGTTATAATTTTTTCTTACAGTTGCATTTTTGAGTTTCACATAATTATGATGGTGGTGATATAAATATGATAATATATTGATAACAGCAAAGAAAAGGATCAGAAAATCTTCGACTTGCAAAATATAAGACACGTAGTTTACTTTACCTGTCGCGAACGTACTTTGAGAATATAGCGAAATAATTGTAATAGTATTAATAACAAAAACAACAACAGCAATGATAATAATAATAATAATGACAATACTAACAATAGTAATAACAACAACAACAACAATAATAATAATAATAATGATAATAATACTAACAATAAAAATAACAACAACAACAATATAATAATGATAATGATGATAATAATAATGATAATAATAATAATAACAATAGTAATAATATCACTACTACTACTACTTATGGTAATAGTAATAGTAATCATGATAATATCAATAGTAATGATGATGAAAAGAATGATAATAACAATAATAATAATAATAATAATAATAATAATAATAATAGTAATAACGATAAGAATAACAATAATGATAATGATAATAGTAACAGTAATAGAAATAGTAATAATGATAATTATGATAATAATAATGATAATTATGATAATAATAATGATAATATAATAATAATAATAATAATAATAATAATAATAATAATAATAATAATAATAATAATAATAATAATAATAACAACAACAACAACAATAATAATAATAATGATGATAATAATAATAATAATCATATTATTATTGGTAGAAGTAGTAGTAGTGGTGGTAGTAGTTGTAATAATACTATTAATAACAATGATAATTCTAGCTAATATTTCTTCCTACTTTTCAGCATATATTTCAGGTTCCGATATAATGATAGTGAAAATAATAGCTATCATGATAAAAGCATTGGTGATGATGATCATTACTACTATTGTTTCTGTCATTAACGTTATTCTTAATATAGTCATCATCATCATCACCACCACCACAATCTTTGCAGTCACTATTAACAATACATCAGTATTATCACTTACTATTTTGACTTCGATTACTGTATTGCCATTATCGTTATCGTTATTATTATACTAACCTCATTTGATATCATTATCAATATCATTAGTTTCTAATCATTGTCTTTTTCGGTCATTACTGATATGGAATCACCCTTGGCTCTTTTCTGTTATCATTTTATTACTATCAGTATCGTAATTTAACCTCATATAATACTTTGGTTATCATTGCTAGTATCACAATCTTCATATTACTCAGTGCTATTGCATGACCTCAATCAGGATAATTTTTTATTTTTATTTCACCGCCATTCGTTTTACTCGTGTGATCATTATTAATTATTTTCACAGTTAACTTTATATATACCGAACACCAGTATCAACATTATCATCATCATCCTTATTTACATTGCTCTTGCTGTTAATACAACTTTCTTTGATATCATGCACCATCATTATTATCATTCTTCTTTTTAAATATTTTAATTTTTTTTATTAAATCATATGAAACATCACTGAACGAATTCCAACTTTAAAAACACATTAAGGATCAGATTTCGAACACGTATGATACACGTACAGTTAACACCCCACACTGCCATTCGTATACAACTTATATACATTTTCTTGATGTATTTCGTTATTATATATATATATTTTTTAGAGGGAGTAAAACCCATTCGTTAATTTCTTCTGCTTATTCTTCGTAAAAGTGAAAAGTCTAATCCGAAAGAAGAGTTTAATTACATCTAGGAAAGTGATGTATTGGTAACTCTAGTAATATTTTACTCTTATGTTAATAGTAATCTCGTGGGCTTTCTCGGCGTAAATGTAAACGATTTTCCTCAGATTTGATGCGGTTTAAGTGATATTTATTGAAGAAAATAGATGAGAATGTATTCGTAAAGCTTAGGAAGTCCGTTAATACATAGAAGAGAACGCAATGTGTCTTGTAATAAGTGATATTGAAATTGTTCACGAAAAAGGAAAAAAAATAGACGACTAACAATAAACTTATTTTCGAAATAGGTGACGATGCTCTGTATGACAAATCATAAATATGAGATTATGGGTTTATAATGTGTTCGTCATGATTTTGGCGGTAAAGAAAAAAGATAAATTTCTAGAAAAGAATTTTGAGAGTAAGGTGACTTCTTCTGAAACAATGACGCTGCTGCTAAATGCAAAGGTAAGTTGTTCGCGAAGAAACTACTTGAATGAAACACTTATTTCTTTGTAACAAAATGCTGTATGTCATTATTCGACCTGGAATATCTCAGATGAATAATTAATTCTGTAGGGCTATAAAAATGTACACTTGTGAGTCTTTCTGTATAGTTTCGTAATATTAATGTGGCGATAGCTATATGTAAGGAAAATCATTAGAAATACTGAATAGAAAATCCTTGTAAGACTATTTACAAGTAAAACTATTTATAAATATAGAATACGTATATGCATATTAGTCTCTCTCCCTCCCCCTCCCTCTCCCTCCCTCTCTCCCTTCCTCCCCCTCCCTCTCCCTCTAATTCTCCCTTTCCCTCTCCCTCTCCCGAAGAGAAAAGGATGAAAATGATTAAGATGAAGATGAAGATGGAGAAGGAGAAGAAAAAATAGAAGGAGGAGGAGAAAGAAGGGAAAGAAGAAAGAGAAAAAGAAAGAGATAAAGAAAAAGAAAAGGGGGAGAAAAAGAAAATAAGAAGAAGAGGGAGGAGAAGGAGAAGGGGAGAGTAAGAGTAAGAGTAAGAGAGAGAGAGAGAGAGAGAGAGAGAGAGAGAAGAGAAGAGAAGAGAAGAGAAGAGAAGAGAAGAGAAGAGAGAGAGAGAGAGAGAGAGAGAGAGAGAGAGAGAGAGAGAGAGAGAGAGAGAGAGAGAGAGGGGGGGGAGAGAGGGAGATGAAGATGGAGATGGGAAAGGGCGAGCGAGGCAGTTGCCAGAGACTCCCAGACGACTCAGCTGCTCGTAGACTCCGACGTCCGAAGGGTAAGCATTTCGAAAGGCGATTGAAACCCTTTTGTGTACTTATTGTTGTTATTTTTCTCTTCAACTTGACCCTTTATGTACTGTGTTTGAGATTAGTGTCGCGAGAATAGAATCACCTGTTCCCATGGGGGATCCAATTCTGTTTTAATTTAGGTAGAGTGTTTACCGTGTTTATATTTGTTGCTGTGGAATGCGTGTATTTAACAATAAGTTCCAAGATATTTACTGGCAGTTTTAAGGCTCGTCATAACAACCGCTCGGTGTCGGCGAAGAAAGAATTAGAATTTAAATGATCTCCATTAGATAATTTGGGTTAAAATCGCTGCAATATTGTGTCGAGAATTTTTGTTGCAGACCACCACCTCTTTCTAGGGGTAGAGGAGGAGGGGGAGGGGGAGGGGAGGGGAGGGGAGGGAGAGGGGGAGAGGGAGGGGAGGGGAGAGGGGGAGGGGAGGGGAGAGGGGGAGGGGAGGGGAGGGGAGAGGGGGAGGGGAGGGGAGAGGGGGAGGGGAGGAGAGCGGAGGGGAGGAGAGCGGAGGGGAGGGAGAGGGAGAGGGGGTAAGGGGAGGGGGAGGGGTAGAGGGAGGAGGAAGGGGTAGGGGAAGGGTGCGCGGGAAGGGGAGGGAGAGGAGGGAAGGGGAGGATGAGGGGGAAGGGGAGGGAGAGAGAGGAGGAGGGGAGGGGGAGGTAGGGGACGGGTGAGGGAAGGGGGAGGGGAAATGGGAGAGGAAGAGGGGAGGGGTAGATGGAGGGGAGGGGAGGAAAGGGGGAAGGGAGGAGGGAGGGGAGGGGGAGGAGAGAGAGAGATTGAGTCATAGAGTGAGTTAGTGGGAGGGAGGGAGAGGGGAGGAGGAGAGGGAGAGGGGAGGAGGAGAGGGAGATGGAGAAGGAGAAGAAGAATGAGAGGGGAGGGAGGAAGGGAGGGAAAAACTGAGTTAACGATGATAATGTTACCATTGATGATAATAATAATAATAATAATAAAAATAATAATTAATAATAATAATAATAATAATATTGATAATAATTATAACAATAATAATCATAAGAATAATAATGATAATGGAAATGATGATTATTATAATAATGGTAATAATAGTAATGATAATTATAATCATAATGATAATGATACTAATGCTAACGATGATAATGCTAATAATAATAATTATGATAATGATAATGATAATGATAATGGGATGATGTTGATGGTAATAATAAATGCTAACAATGATAATGTAAACATTAATGATAATAATAATGGTGATAATAATGATAATAATAACGATAAAAATTATGATAATGCTAATAATAAAAATAATGATGATGATGTTGATAATGATGATGTTGATAATGATGATAATA